ATAAATGTGCCCAATACATTTTGTCCTGTGTGCATTTTTCGTCTGTATTTGACTGGATCCTATGAATCGTAAGGCTGTTAAAGAATTATAATAATTATACAATTATAATATTATATTATAATATTATAATATTGCTAATGCAAGCTAATGCTGCTGCACATCAATATGATGTCACTAATCTACATGAGGGAAAGGTGTGTGTTTAGACTAATTGTACTACCTTGTCAAAATGCCATAGCACATATTTATAGATAGCTCTATACATAAAACCTCTAGGTAGAATATTTTGATAGCTTAAATCACCTGATCAAAAAATACTATCAGCATCAAAACTACGGAGCTTAAGTCAGCTTCTTATTTACCAGCTTCTTGTTAGAATTTTCCCATTCCACCGTAAATGTTGCAGCAGTGATTGTAACGCCTCAGGCAGCAGAACATAACTGCTTCACCATTTAAGGTAGAACTGGAAAATTTAAACAAAAAGCTGGCAAGTGTCCTTACCAGAGATAAGTAGTAATATTAAGCTGAGTCTGCATGGAATTAACATTAAAAACACAATAAAATGTTTAACACTGAGTTACTACATTGTACCAATGAAATGCACATGATCGGTAGGACCATCTAGATGGTGATCCTATCTCTTTGTGGTTTGTCAGGCTTCTTCAAGGATGACCAGAAGAACATTACATGAAGTAAAAACCATTTTCAGTCTGATCATGTTGAGCAGTGTAGCCTCAGTACAAGTCAGCTTGTAGGGCTTCTATACTGGCAAAGCTTGCTGGTTTGCACATTCTTTTGAACGAGGCTGCCAGTTGAATGACATTAGCATTAGCTTACATGTAGCAATGTTCATATGTCAACTCTTTAATGACATTTGTAAAAAATTAACTTGTACAGTAGTGCAAATAAGCATTATGCTCCAGGATGAGTTATACTGTAATACAGTAAAGAGGTTTGTTGGTTCAGTTTAAAGTGTGAGGTGTCCACTGTGGTTAATGAGCGCTACAGCTTAGGGGAAAAAGCTGTTAGCATGTCTGACTGTGCTGGTTTTGATGGCCCTGAATCTTCTACCACAGTGTCTAGAAGAGGTGATGTCCAGAATGAGAGGGGTCAGCTGTAATTTTGCCAGCACACTGCATCACCCTGCTGTTTTAGATGTCCTGAAGTGTTGGCAGACTACATCCAGTGATCCTTTCCGCTGTCCAGATTATGTACTGGAGTTTGGCTCATTCTTGTGAGATGAAGAGACCAAACCAGATGGTTATGGATGATGTGAGGATGGACTCTATGATCGTTGTGTAGAACTGGATCATCAGGCTCTGCGGCAGGTTGATTTTTTTCAGCCGTCTCAGGAAGAGCATTCTTTGCTGTGCTTTCTTGGCAATGGAGACTGTGTTCCTCTCCCACTCCAGATCCCTGGATATGGAGGTGCCCAGGAACTTAAGTGACTCCACAGTGGAAACCACTGGTAGGGAGGGGGGGTTGCACATGAAGTCCACCACCATCTGCACCGTTTTTTCTGTGTTTAGCAGCAGGTTGTTGCTGCTGCACCAAGAGACCAGCTGCTCAACAACCTCTGCGTAGGCAGACTCATCTCCATTGGCTATGGGGCTCACCACAGTGGAGTCATCTGCAAAAAGGATCTTCACAACTGGTTCCTTGGAGACACAGTCATTGGTGTAGAGACTGAGGAGCAGGGGTGAGAGCACACAAGAAGTACTGAGGGTCTGGGAGTCTGTTGTGTTTTCCTAGCCGTACTTGCTGTTTCCTGTTTGCCAGGAAATCCATCCTGGCACTGACAGCTGGGACAGTTTGACCTGAAGCAGCTCTAGCATTATCGTGTTGAATGCCAAGCTGAAGTCCACAAACAGAACTATAGATGTTGTAGCATGAAGTGCAGGGCTTAGTTGACCGTGCCATCAACAGACCTGTTAGCTTTGTATGTGAATCACAGGGGATACAGCAGAGGGTTTATAATGGTCTTCAGGTGGGCTAGGACCAGGTGTTGAAAGACCTTCATGACTACAGAGTTCAGGACTATTGGTTTATAGTCATTTAGTCCAGTGATGTTCATTTTTTGAGGACTGGAATGATGGTGAATGATGTGATTTAAGCATGTGGAAACAGAGCAGAGTTTCAGTGATTTGTTGAAGATGTTGGTAAAAATAGGTGCTAGTTGGTCACAGAAGTGCTTTAGGGTAGAAGGAGAGACTAGGTCAGGTCCTGGGGTTTTTCTCACCTTCTGCCTGCTTACAAGCCTGTTAAGCTCCTGCTTATTAATGGTGAGAGAACCAGGGTGGGGTAGGAGGGTGGATGACTGAGAGAGAAAGGCTGAAGAATGTCTGTTGTGCATTCAAACCTGCAGTAGAATTCAATCAGGTTGTTGGTAAGCTGGTGGTCATTCAGGAGAAAGGTAATCTTTCTCATTTTGTAGTTGAAGGCCGCTGCTGCTTTAACCCCCTTCCCCATCTTGTATTTGGCCTCCTTTTAGACAGTTCTGTCCCCACTCCTCAATACTGCCTCCTTTTCTCTTCAAGGCTGTCTGAGTTCAGCTGAAAATCACGGTTTATTGTTGCTATATTTTGATGTATGACATTACCGTCTCTGTATATTTGTCTAGACTCTTTGAGACCTCTTCAAAAACAGTCCAGCTTGTGGATTCAAAGCAGCCCTGTAGCTTTTCAATGTCTCCACTGGTCCACCTCTTCACTGTTGTGACGACTGGCTTGTTGGTTTTGAGTTTCTGCCTGTATGTCGGGATGAGGTGACCGAGACTGTGGTCGGAATGATTGAGAGCCGTGCTCATGATGGCATTTTAAAAGTGGTGTAACAATGATCCACAATGTTCCCTTCTTTTGTGGCACAGGTGACGTGCTGTCTGTACTCGGCCACTTCTTTAGTTAGATTTGTGCTGTTAAAGTCTCCCAGAATGATGAGTAATGAGTCTGGATTCTTTCTTTCTACTTTCGTTATCTGATCGGCCAGCAGTTTCTGTGCGTCGCTTGTGCGTGTGCCCTGCAGAATGTAAACAGTGACCAGAATGAAAGACGAAAACTCCCTGGGAGAGTAGAACAATTTGCAGTTGATGAAAAGTGACTTTAGATGAGGAGTGCATTCATTTTTCTCACAGAGAAATTCCCAGAGTTCCTTATATGGGCATAAGAGCATGGGGCCAACAGAAGGATGACGCAACTTCAGTGGCCTACATCGTTGCTGCTTCTCGACTCATGGCATAACCAGCAAGCTAATTGGCTCTTTTTACTGAGGGGTGGGACTTTCTCCATAATCGGATGCCATGCTGAGCGTTACAAGCCTTCCCATTTATGTTTTAATCAGTAACTGGTCTCTTCATTGATAACGTCTCGGATTGAGGTCTTTCATACAGCAAATTGTAGTTATTGTTTACTGCATTAATGCATTTTATTATTTCCTCATTTTATATTATGTTTTACAAGAAAAAAGCCTACTGTTCAGATACTTTAAATGATTGACATGCTTTCCTAAGCAACTATTTGGAGGCTTGACAAGCTTTACACATTTTTGGCAAAAATCCCATTTCCCACTGTAGCACGTCACAGTCAAATTCTCAAATTACCCAAATCTCTATACTAATATATACCTTAAAGTTTGGTAATGTAAAATTATATTTAACTTGCGTGGAAGATCATACTGTTCGAAAAAATCAGGGTTGTTTTATTTATTTATGTAAACAGGTTTCGATTAGTCCAGCTCAACGTAGCATTTTAAACTGGAAATTAACCATATGTAGCAACTTCAAACTACAACCTAATTGGATGGGATTTATTTAAAGGTTTCGTAAAGCTTGTCCAACCTCGCAACAGTTGCTATGAAAGAATGAAGAGGCATTGAAGAGAAGCACCATTGTTGCATTTCAGAGGTGTGTCAGGAGGGAAGTAATGCACAAGCTGAAAAGAAGGAGTGCCTGAGGCCTGAAATCAGTGTATTAACATAAAGCATTATAGATTGCAAATGCGCTTCTTGTGTGTGCGTGTGTATGTGTGTGTGTGTGTTTGTGTGTGTGTGTGTTTGTGTGTTTGGTATGTCAGAAGCAGTACATGTCCCCCCCTTTATCCCTGTTGACTCAGGAACTGTGTTTCAGCTCACATCACATTAAATCTACATCACACACACACACACACACACACACACGCACACACACGCACACACCACACTGTGCACTACATATACAAACCTTTCCAATTCTGCACAGTTAATTATTTATACATTTGTCACTTCATTTACCTTATTCATTACTTCAGGGCTCAATGTTAAAGTGTTAATAACATGTCAATAACACATTAATGACATTTATTATGCAATTAATTATTTACAGCACTTATTTATAGAAAAAATATTTTTCTTCATCAACCCTTCAAAACACCAATGTATGTTGCTATAATAGAATCCATGATTGTACATTGTAGACAGCAAATACAATTTGTAGCAATACCCTCAGCAGTCTGCACTGCACAGTGCTAATGGGAGACCTGTGGAGCACACAAAAGTAACAGCAACGTGTAAAGATATACGTTCCCCTTAAGAGGTTCCACCATAACCGCAATGAGCGAGAGGCCACAATATGATATATACCCTCATTGGTTGGAACATGCAGCCACTGTTGCTATCACTGGATGTCAATGATGAAAATTGGAGACTGTGTTCACTCTGTAGACATCACATGCATTCATTTTCAGGTTCATTTGAACTCAGCATTCACACAATGAAAAATACATTCTGATGAAGCTTAGTTTGTCCACTCATTGCTATAAAATACACTGCTTTTAGGGTCGAATTTGAGCAAACAGGACAAATACGAATGATGACAACCACATAAAATAACAAGATGAATTGTGATTAATTATTATAATTATTTGACAGTCCATAGCTTAAAGAATGTTACTATTCACTACTCTATACTAATCTCCCTCTCTTTCTCTCTCTCTCTCTCTCTCTCTCTCTCTCTCTCTCTCTCTGTCTAGCTGCAGAAATGGCGATGAGCAGCATTCTGAACGCTGATGACATTAAGAAAGCCCTGGATGCATTCAAAGGTAAAGAAAAGATTACTTCCACCTGGTCAGCAAGCTGGGTTACACTCTGTTGGCCGCTTTCTCCGACACAGATTAAGCTTTGTGGCAGATTAAGGCGGATTTCCTGTGGAGTATCACAGTTAATAGTGAGCATTAGTCCAGAACTAGGCTTCATCTGTGTTTGTGAAGCTGTTTCTTCTACTTTGTCCTGCCTAAAGAGCATGAAGAGGAGTCATTAGAAATGCCACATCACCTAACAGGATTATGTAAAGACCCGCCGACTGCAAAGAGAAAGTAAATCAGAGGCATACATTCAGCTTTGATGTGATGCAGTAACTGAGAGACAAAATGTTGGCTTTGACTTTTAAAAATTTTAATTACTAATACAAAAGATTATGACTTATTGTCTCAATATCTTGACTTAGTATGTTGAAATAATTATTTATTTTCTCACAGTTGTGACTTATCAGTGGTGTAATGAGGATCTTATGGGCCCAAATGAGTGCAAAAAAAGGTTGCCCCCTTACAAATTTACTGTCAGTGAATGACAATGTAATTTGCTTGTTTACTCTCTATTGTTATGTCTCAAAGAAGTTAATGCTCTAAAGACCAGAGTACACAGATGGGACAAACATAAACAAACACAAACAAATACAAGCATTTGGTTGGTGTGCCAACCTATCTTTGATTACTGTAAGAGTCTAGAATGTTCTCTTCCCATTTACTCTGGTTCACTTTAGGTATAAGGAACTTAGACTGCAAACATTACAGTGTTCATGTTTGTTCCATCAGTGTACTCTGGCCTTAAGGTACATCACTCCACCCACTATCATTGAACTTTAACTATAATGTTTACATTAGACTCCCTATTTAAGAATTTATAAGTAATAAATATGTTTATAATATATTTATCTTGCTTGTAGATACATAACTAAGAGTTATAAATTATCAATGTATTATGTGAAGGATCTGTTTTGAAACAGTTAGGCATTGTGGTTATAGAGAATGGAGATGTGTTATTATGTATGCATTAGTGGAAGATAAATGGACGTCAGGGTGGTCCGTGTAGTGCTGATAGAAGCCAACTTGTGAGGTATGTTGTTGAGTGCATTATGGGTGTACAATTGTGTGAGAATCAGTATAAAGGGCCCAATAAAGATTTTAGGAGCTTTGTCAACATGGGCCCCCAGTGTGATTGCCCCCCCTCCACCCATACCACTGTGTATAATCTCAAAATAATTGGACTTTCTCTAATTATTAGAAAATAGTAATGGCTGATTATATTGACTTGCTAATTTTTAGATAATAAATTCATTTTTTGCACAAAATAATCATTTTGCCAAAACATCATTATTTTGACTTACAGAAAGGTCAAACTTTTGACATAAAAGTCAAAATACACCAAAAACAACATGTCTATATTTTACAATTACAGCAATTACAAACAACACTTTTTCATCCTTCCTTATGGAAATGGGTATGTACACAAAAGGACAACACTGTGTTAACTTCAAAGTTGCACCTGAGTTTATTCATATGAAAGTTCTTCATATAAGTAGATTGGCCACACCCACCAGCCCAAACTGCCTGTAGACTGTTTGTAATCTGTGCTTCTTTTAGTAAATCTTGTGTGTTACTTTTTGTCTGTTTGGAGTGTCTGTTATGTAACTTGTATGTTCTGGTCATGGAGGATTTTAAGTTTTAAAATTTGTAAATGCTCCTTCTGATCTATTATTTAACTCTCGTTGTAGCCGCTGACTCATTTGACCACAAGAAGTTCTTTGAGATGGTGGGGCTGAAGGCAAAATCAGCTGATGATGTAAAGAAGGCCTTCCATGTACTGGATGCTGACAACAGCGGCTTCATAGAGGAGGAGGAACTTAAGTGAGGCTCATTATTTACAAACAGACTAATTCTAGACATTTTAGAACAACACTTCACTATTAGATAACACATATGGAATTATACAGTGGCCAAACTTTTATATATGTCCAATGGTTTATAGACACCTCCTCAACCAATATTTCTTCTGAAATGAAGGGTATTAATAGGGAGTTTGTCCCCTTTTGCTGCAGTAACAGCCTCTACTTTTGAAAGCTGTACACCACGTGTTGGAACATTGCTGTGAGGATTTGATTGTGTTCAGCCACAAGAGCATTAGTGAGGTCAAGTACTGATGCTGGATGATTAGTTCTGGATCACAAATGCCACTCCAACTCATCCCAAAGGTATCGAATGGACCTCCATCAATTCAGAGAATGCAGTTCCACTGGTCCACAGCCCAATGCTGGGGGGGCTTTATACCCCTCTAGCCAATGCTTGGCATTGGGCATGATGACTTTAGGGTCATTGCAGCTGCTTGAAAGTGTCCCATTCTATTGGCAATATTTTTCTATGGAAGCTGTGTGCATGTAGTTGACAGCGTCTGTAATGAGTGCATCTTAAAGTTGCTGAATTCACTAATTAGAAGGAGTGTCTGGATACTTTTGAACATATAGTGTGTTTTAGTTTTTTCAAAGTACCCTCTGTTTTTTTTTCATGATGCAGCATTGCATGCTCTCAAGCTTCATCAAAGATGCTTTTCTAACATACTTCAAAGACATTCACATAAGTTGAGATTTTTTTCAGAAATGTTTGAATATATAGGCTCAAACTTCAATATTTGTTTTTGTCTTAGAAGCAAATGTCAAGCAGTTAAGTCTAAGCCTTCAAATCAAAGTGTCTTTAGTATTTTGAAAAACATTCATTCTGTCAAGTCTGTCCAAACCCTTGAAAGATGTGTCACATGTGTGCAGGTTCGTGCTGAAGGGTTTTGCGACTGATGGAAGAGACCTGACTGATAAGGAAACCAAAGCCTTCCTACAGGCAGCTGATAAAGACGGAGACGGCAAGATTGGAGTGGACGGTGAGACATACATACCACCAAAAAAGAGACGAGAAGAGCAGAATAGTGAAAAATTGTACCAGAGACATTAGCCTGCTGGTTGTTGAAGGGGAATTCCACCAATGTCTCAAAATTTGTGCATAATTAAATCATTTAGATGTAAACAAAGTTATTCAGAGTGGTTTGATGAGAAATGCTCTGTTCTAAAGTTAGAATTGTTCAAAGTGGTGATAGGAACTAGACGTTGAAGACATTTAATGTCTCTGAATGCTACCTTATGGAGTTGTTTGTTGTTTTACAATAGCTTTGTGATAGAACTTTGGCCTTTGCAGGGTGAAGAGGTTAATACGAGTTGTTATAAGGAAAAAAAAACCCTCAAAAAATTATCAATTACCATTATCTACATCTCTTCATTTGGATAGCAGTTAAATTAGATATATTGCAGATATCTGCAGATATACTGCAGATATCACAGCCTGGCCTGTTTCACCACAATTCACAATCCACTATCACTGCAATAAACTTTTTTTTTTTGTTTGTCTTTGTGTAATTTTACATCAGGGCAGATTCCCACCTGCTAGCTTGGTCTCCCATATAACACAATGAGAATGAGGACAGAGATGCTTGCTTGCTCTCACAGTCACAGATGGCTGTGGCAACACCAGTAATCAAACTCATGATCTTCCAACGATAAGACCAATGCTTAGATCGTTGTGCCACTCAGGCTCCTACAATATATAATTTTACTCTGAATATATCTCAACATGGCAGCGCGGTGGCGCAGTGGGTAGCGCTGTCGCCTCACAGCAAGAATGGCCTGGGTTCGATTCCCGGCCGGGCGACCAGGGTCGTTTCTGTGTGGAGTTTGCATGTTCTCCCCGTGTCTGCGTGGGTTTCCTCCGGGTACTCCGGTTTCCTCCCACAGTCCAAAGACATGCAATCAGGCCGACTGGACGTGCTAAAATTGCCCCTAGGTGTGAGTGAGTGTATGAATGTGTATGTCTGTCTGTCTGCCCTGCGATGGACTGGCGACCTGTCCAGGGTGTATCCTGCCTTCCGCCCAATGACAGCTGGGATAGGCTCCAGCACCCCACCGTGACCCAGAAGGATAAGCGGTTTAGATGATGTATAAATGTATGTATGTATATATCTCAACACTTGAAATATGCACAAATTTTGAAAAATCTGTGGCATTCCCCTTTAGGATCAGGATACTGCATTATTGATGAATCATGCCAGATTGGTCTCTTATATTCTTTCCCCCACTGTGGTGGTCTTGAAAAAGCAGAATAGCTCAAACTGTGTTTAACTGAAAATGAGCAACACCCACCATGTACTTCCCCTCACAGGCCACTTTATGAGGGACACATAACCTCTAGGCCCATTTATATTGGTGTACAGATTGTAGCCCAGCTGTAGTCATGCATTTATCAGCTATCAGCCCTTTATCAGCCCTGTATGCCATTCATCATTGGTCAGTTTCTGACTACAGGGTTGCCAGATATTATTTGCACAGCAGTGACATTGACTTGGTAGTGAGTGGTGCGCTGGTGTATCAGGTACAGCAGCATTGCTAAGGGTTTTAAACACATCAGCCACTCTCATGGTCCACCACCCAAAAAGCTGTCATCTCTGTTGTCATAAACTGACCACTGGGCTAGAGGATGGCTATCACAAGTTGGACAGCAATAGTCTCTAAATGAAGCTACAAAGTATGTAAGGCCATTTAGAATAGAATAGAAAAGAATAGCATCCACACTTAATGCTAATGATTAAAATGTACATTTGCACTGTGGCATTAATATGAACAATTTCTTTTGATCTCCCTCTATCGTTTTCTCTCTTTCTCTCTCTCTCTCTCTCTCTCCCTCACTCTCATTCTCTGTCGCTCTCTCTCTCTCTCTCTCTCTCTCTCTCTCTCTCTCTCTCTCTGTCTCTCAGAGTTTGCTGCTCTTGTCCATGAGTGAACGGGCCCATCCTGGCTGACCCATACCCTCAAGATCCCACAACCCAGACCACACCCTAACACACACTGCCCCACCCCCCACACACACTCCCTGTCACATTATTCACACACACACGCACAGCCTCACTCACTGCTGACACACATGCTCCGTTCACAGCTGTTCACACTCCTTCAACCCTACACTTCACACAGCCTGAGCGCAGCGTACACAAGCAAGGGGCACGCGCACGCGCACACGCACACACACACACACACACACACACCTACACACACACACACACACACACACACACACACTCTACACCGCCTCCTTCAGTCATGCTATTTATTTTTCCTTTTTATACAAACGTGTGTGTTTCTGCTAGTGTATAGATGAAGAGCCCCTCACCCTGACAGTCTGTAGATATTTACAAAAAGGAAAGTCAAGACCACCCCTTTCATCTCTTTATTCTACACTCTCTTTTCGTTCTCTCTTTCTCCCTCTTTAAATCTCTCTATCAACTCTCTCTCTCTCACTCCTCTGCACTGCTCTCCTCCCTCCTCTCCTCTCCATCTCTCCCGCTCCTCTCTTCTCTCTGGTATAGAGCCACCATGAAAAACGTCAAAATAAGAAAGAGGTCAAACTGTAAAAGGAGAAAAAAATGAAATAAAGACAGAATGCCTCGAGAGCTCTGACTCACTGTGAATCTTTTCTTTATCCCCTTTTTCCATTGCTCTTTTCTTTCTGTCACATACTACACTTACATTGCTGTAGATCCTCAGGGGAGAAGAGCGACAGACATGACAGACTGAGAGAAAGGGGGAGAGAGAGAGAGAGAGAGATGGAGATGGGAGAGAGAGAGAGAGAGAGAGTAAGAAAGAGAAAGAGAGACAGATTGAGAGAAAGATGGAGATAGATAGTGACACTGAGAGAGAGACAGATTGAGAGGGAATGAGTTTGATACAGAGATTATGTGAGAGAGAGATGGATGGATAAGGTGGAGAAAGAGAGAATGACAGGAAGAGAAAGAGTAAGAAAAATTAAGAGAGAAAAAGATAGGAGGGGGTGTGAGAGAAAGAAAGACAAAAACAATTTAAAGACAAAGAGACAAAGACTTGGGAGATAGTGAAAAAGAGAGAAATGTAAAGACACAAAAAATACTAATAGAGAGAGGGGGTCAGACAGTGAGGGGGGGAGAAAAAAGGTGTAAGAGAGAGAGTGAGAAGGAGAGAGAGGGGAATAGTTGGAGAGAAAAAGAAAGAGGGAGAGCAGGATTAAGAGAAAGAGAGAGAGAGAGAGAGAGAGAGAGAGAGAGAGAGAGAGAGAGAGAGAGAGAGAGACTTAGATTTAGCTCAGGGTGGAATAACTGCAGTAGTATTGGACAGGCTTAGCTACACTCAAGTTCAATTAAGTCTTTTATGTCATTGCTTTGTTGCCCCTCGGCCAGGCCAGCAAATGAACTAGCCTGTTAAACATGCTATTATCATCCAGAGAGAGAGAGAGGGAGAGAGAGAGAGAGAAAGAGAGAGAGAGATTAAATAGGTCTCTCCCCAGAGAACTGGATCTGTTACGCAGGAAGCAGAGCTAGCTACTTCACTCTCAGATACACACATCACAAAGGAAACTTTCAGAAGCCTGAACACAGCCAACACACAAACCATCTGTCTGCAATACGCAACAATCACAGAGCAAATTGAAATTAACTAGTTTTGTAGCTGTAGAAAACATCCTGCTCTGAAGCAGCGTCTGCGCGCCTAATTCATTTGGCCTCAGCAATTACAGTTTTGTTCCTAAGGTCAGTGTTTTCAAAGCGGTTAACACAGCTGTCAGAACCACTGGCTCATTTCACAAAGCCAATAATGCAGTTTCACTGCGTCCACACAATTCTGCATAAAGCTGAAGATTAGCTCAGAGTGTACAGACTTAAATTACTTGCTCACCAATCAGCATCTCATTATGTATTAACATAAATATAAATTAAGCTGATCTGAAAAGAGTAAATTAAACCAAAAATCATTCTGCTTTTGAAAAGTACTCTGGTTATCTTTTATTGGCCTCTTTTCATTTTTGCATAGCATTAATTCAGAGTCTTATTGCACTGATAATACATAAAGTGTCTACTATTTGTACAACAGAAATATATGAAGAATCTGAAGTTAAAGTCCTCTTATGATACTTAAAGGGGACACATATTTAAAGGAACTGGTTTTACATTCAGATCAGCTTGTTTAGCAGAATGTAAATCTGTGGGCAGCAGATTGTGCTACTCATTGGCAGTGCAACAGCACTGAACCAAAAATTTCTCCCCATTTCATCTAATCCACATCACTTGTTACGATTCCACACACACTGGATTGTGGGTAAAAACCATGTTACGAGCAGATTTTGGGAGCGCCAGTGTCAGCGCACCATCTGTTGTTGATTAAAAAGCAGACGCCTCCACCTTTGTTGTTGCCAGTTGATTTAGAAGCTCTTGCCATATGATAGATTGAGAATGTCTCAGTTTGAATACATATGCTTGGGGTATTCAGTACAGTGCAAAAGTCAGAGACCACCCTTTTGCTTATTTAATCTCCAGACAACATGTCTAATAAGTACAGTGCAGCAAACTGTGGAGTGCTGGAAACATGTATTTAGCAGAAATAGCAGAAAAGCCCTCAACACAAAGTATAATAACAAACTATATGGTCAAAAGTAAGTGGACACCTGACCATCACACCTACATGACCATGTTTGGCATCTCTTTTCCAAACCATAGACATTAATATGGAGTTGGCCTCCCTTTGAAGCTACAACAGCCTCCACTCTTCCAAAAAGGCATTCCACAAGATTTTGGAGTGTGTTTGTGGGAATTTGTCACCATTTAGACAAAAGAGCTTTCGGCTCTGTGCAGGATTAATGGATTAAACAGCTTTGAAGTTAATTGTTTTTATGAAGTCACGAGAAACAACAATTTACATATATTCACTTATTCAGCCTATAGCAGTTAAGCCCCACCCAATCATGCTGAAGTTATATGGAGTGTTTTAGCCTAGACTGCTTTTGAATGAGAGAGAGGTTGAAAAAAATCTGTGAAAATAAAATTATGACTGGTACATAGACAAACACAGCCATCAGAAGCGACGCTCAGTGGGAAAAAGTAAAATGCAAGAAACACAGAGGATATGGTTCCCTTTCAGCTGATTAGATTTATTGCTAGTCAATATTTTCATTTATAGATAGATTATTATATATTATATGTATTGGGTTGTTCATCATTAATAGATGTTCTTATGTCTCCAACACAACAAAAACAAACAATAACAAGTAAATACGTCTTAATAATAATATGAAGTGACATGCACAATAGCCTCTAGTTTGTCACAAGCTTATCAGTGCCAGCAGAGATGGCAGAATTAAGAGGGCTTGGAGGCAGAAGTGAAGCCTAACGCTAGCAATTCTGACACATTACAAGAAGGTCACACCAATTAGTGGCAAGGTCAAACACAGAATTCACTCTAAAGACATTTAGACAGAACATCCCCTCTGACAGCACATCCCATCTGCACAGAGCTTCATCTGCTTCACTGGAAACTCAAATGCGCAGGAGAAATGATGTGCATAGTTCATTAAGGAGGTCAAGGACCCCAGTGTGTTCACAGCACTGAAATGGTGTTTAATGACCAGTCTCTCAGAATGACTTAAGTGGCTATCAATATCTGTGATTCATGGCTGTTAAATGGCAGGCTTTATGAACATGTTGTAGCCCTTATGGTCACTTTTAAACCTATCAAACTGAAAACATTAAGTAGCATAAAGTATTATATATTAAAAAGAAAACCTGAGATGTTTTAAAAGTGCTTCTTTTATATATTTAAATTACTTCTTATATATTCTTATATATTTAAATTACAGGCAATAATCAAAATAGTCATTTTACAGATCAGTACTACATTACATTTATGCAAAAACTGCATTACCCCACAATGTAAAAAGTGATTCCATAGCAAGCTGAAACATGTTAAACACAGACAATATGTCTAATTTATCATTATGAGATTTAAAAATATTACAAGATTACTCAAGCTTTTTCTAGACATTTTTCAATTTTACGTGATCGTGTCAAGTAAAATTATCCTAATTATTTTATGAAGGAATGCTTAAAGTACAATAACTTCATTTCCCAGTTTGCCAGTTGTTAGTTTCCCTGGCCAAGTTCTACCCGCTGTACTGGCTCCTTGTGTTCTTTCTCCACTGCACATCCACCTGTCCACCTTGTCTATGCCCCAGTTTGAGCTTCTCCATAGTTATAACAGAAGTTGTGTGTAATTTTAGCAGATAAATTGTTTGTTGATGTCTGGGATGGTGGAGGATAACACATTTATGCATAAATGTATAGGTATAGCTGGAGGAGGAGATGAGGAATCCTGCCAATTTTCAGCTCTTACAGAGCGAGATGTCCAGAAAAGCCTACAGCCGTTCTAAATGGAAAGAGCTGAAACAGTTCTGTATTTGAGAAACATGATCTCTTGCATATTGGTTGCCACTGAAAAAAAATTCTGTAAAAGTTTTAGTAAAAAAAATTTAAATACATTTTTAAACAAGGTTATGGGAGCATTAGGGAAGCCGAAGCTGCACAAAGCTGTGACATACATGACAGCAGAGAGGGAAATATGTCAAAGTTATACAACTTTTTTTGCAGGAAATTCCTTCATTAGGTAAAGTATTTTTAGCACAAAAATCCATTTTGATGAAAACAAGCTGCTGCACAGCAAAAACCACAAGCTTTTTTTATGCATTTTCAGTTTAGCACTTGAAAAGTGCACAGGAAACAGAAACATAATTAGACTTTACAGCATAATTCCTGGGGCACTAGAGTTCACGCAACTCAAACTTCTTAGTTTAGTCAAAAGTTCTCCTATCTCACATTTTTAAGTACTGCATCTCAGTTGGTAAACAATATAGATTTATATTAAACTTTTTTGTCAATTTTCCCACAAGGGAAAATCCCACCTGGTCTTTCCAACACACAGTAGGCATTTTCTGGGGTCCCAGTTCAGGAGAGTGTTCAAATCAAAAATCTTCTTATTATGGACCAGGTGCTTAGACAGTTATGCCACTTGGTGGCCCTTGCAAGCACTTACATCTCTATGTCCAGATTTGTTGTTTTAACTATTAAAAGTAACATGGTTGACTTAAAATTCTTATTTCACTGAAAATCAGATATTTTCATATATTATCTTTTCATATATATTAATATAATCATATATTATTGGACGTTCAGTTAACTCCAATTTTAGGTCAGACAAAGTTAAATTGTAAAATTTCAAACAAATTTGGATATTTAGGTTTATATGTGTTACTAGTACTAAGGCAGATGTTGTTAGGCTAACTAAAATTAACATTTTACACTAATATTTTTCAAATTCTTTCTTAAGGTAAAAGGAAAGAGTTTCTCTACGTACTTTAATATTTCTCTACTTTTATTATGTTACAACAGTTACTAATCTGACATCATGAAGTCACCCACTTGTGCTGTTGACAGAATTTACTGAGGTCCTGAAGTCCCATGCTTGTGAGAAAACAGATGCACAGATCATAAAACAGCATATCAAGCAGTGCAGCCTTAAGGGTGTTTCATTTGTTTGTAAAGATTTTTTATGATGTATTCTTAACATATTATATGTTCTTTAAAAAGAAACAAAGGTAGAATTAACTAGGAGAAGGTTGTCATCTAGCATCTGCACTGTACAGCAGGAAAACAGCATGTTATGAAAGGTTTATCTACACTGCAAAATGTTTGGCATTATTCTCAATGAATAAATTTGTTATTTATTATTGACTGCTTTTATGTTTCTATAGTCATTCATCAGTTTCCGTTTGAGCTTAGCTCTTTGTCTGACCCCAATTCTGTGTTTTGTTTAATGTCGTATTATCCAGTGTTCCTGTATATTCCAATGAAGTTCAAAGCTTGCACCTACATCCACTCAGCCCTCTGGAATTATTGTCATGGAATTGATCACATTTCTATTTCTAGAAATAGGTTGAATAGTCCTAAAATATCCTTACAGCAACCTCATAGTATGAAATAGTATGATACAGTACATTCATTTAAAAATATTTCCTTTGCTATCCTTTTTTGCCTTCCTAGTCCTGTCTTATGTTTTTATTGTCATTCATTCTCTCTAAGCCTTCATAACTCTTAAGCTGAACCTACAAAAACCTTCACAGTCATCTTTTTCCTAAACGACACTGAAAGATGATCTCAACATAAATATTAAGTTGCTACAGCAGCTTTGTCTCATTACAGAGCAGCATGTGTAGGGCCAACTTATGGTGTGTTGCATTTAGATGGAGTCAGCTGATCTCTCATTGGATGGTGTGTTACAATATGCGTGGAGCTGATCTGTCATTGGTTGTTGTGGGTTTCAGCTTCACTGTGGCAAAAGGGTTTGTGCCTCTGCAGAAAGCAACACAAAGTGTAGAATAATTCAGTTAATAAAAGCCCAGTACAGTATGGCTCAACTTAAATTGTACAGACATAATTGACTCATTTATGTTCATCTCTACCTGGGAAAAAGCTCTGGTCGCGGCCTAAAGTCTTCTTGTCTCTGCAAGAGGACAGAAAGGACAGAAGATTAAATGTTGAATGGCCTCTCTGTTTGTGGGTGGATTTTGTAGTTCTTATATCAACAGTTTTGCATAAAAGCTCCAATAACCAGCTACTGGGCCACATTGGTACATACTCACTAAATTTTAAAGTACAATGCAGAAACACGCTATTGAGGACTACAGGAAATCATACCATGCAAAAACAACACACACACACACACACAAACTGACAGACCCTCAGCAGCTGGAGCTGCCCCCTTCCATCCACCAGAAAGATGGCTGAGGCGTCATGGAGAACAGAACTTTACCACAGTGCCTCTGCTGGCCAAATGAGGGAACTGTGACTTAACACTCAGTATGAAACACACTGCGATGATACATCATCTAAACTCTCAACTAAAAGAGTTACGGGGATGAAAATAAAACTTGAATGGTGAACAGAAGCATTTCTAAAAGACAACATAAGAAGCAGCAAAGGGATTTGTTAGTACACTACATTAAAGAAATAAAAGTAATGAATTTACTTGACTCAAATGTGTGCATCATTTTCACATGAATAAAGTATATTTATATCAGCGCAGTTTTTCTTTCAATTTAAATACTTTGACCATAAGTGGAATGACTTATCGTAATACATATTTTGGTCTGAGAGAATAGACAAGTGCCAATTTTCAATAATAAGGTATACCATGATATTCAACACAGGTGACATTGTTATTGTGGACACTTTGAAATACCATCACTGCATTTTAGTCAAGCAAGTTGCCGTTTTGCCAGCGAGTTTTTAGAAACGCAGAGTCGCTCTGGTTTCATAAGATCCTGTCACACTGTGTTCCCAATGCTTTATCTGATGTTTGTACAGCTGTTTTAGCATGTTATTGGTCTGAGCACCTTTACAGCTAACAGTAAAGGTTGCAGGGCCCTAAGCTCACTCTCAATGTGCCATCTAGAGGGTCTGCCATCCAGCCCAGAACAATAAATAAATAAATTTCTAGGGAAAACCAAAAACATGGTGCTCTTTACAAAGACACAGTATTCCAGAAATGAATTAACACTGTTTCATTATACAAAGAGCGAAGTTTTCTGTCTTTTTTAAAGACCAAAATCTCCAAAATGTATAACCACTAACACATTCTTGCTATTAAACATGATATGTCATACATGCAGTGTTTTCTTAATACAATATCATAATAATGTTGTATAAAAATGTTAGGTAATTATTGTTATATTTTTACATAAGCACATGCCTATGTGAATATAATGTGCACATTTCAGTCAAGTCAGTTCAGTGCAATACTGTAATCACTGGAGCTTGGGCAGTTGGATTCAGGCCAAAAACATCCCTACTTGTTTGAAATATCACCTCTAATAATGTACAGTATAAATCTTTTTCAAGTGATTTGGCTAGCCATATGGTCAGTTAATGTACAGTCATATGCAATGAAGTTTGAACAAACATGGTCAAATGACCTATTTTGTTGATTTTCTAAATTAAAAAATAAGTACACCTCTACAGGGAACAGGCTTCAGAGCTCAATCCCTATTTATTTACATATTGGGGGTAAATAAAACATAAAACATAATGTGCCATAACTTTTGCACAAGACACAGTTGATGTTTATTAGTTTTTTTGACAAGTGGCGCCCAAACTTTCACATACAACTGTATCTCTGTTACTTTAACTTCTTGTCGTAATTTATGTTCTTCACCACTTTTCTTTCATTATATACTCATCCGTTGCCTTTTGAGCTTACTTTGCTTTCTGCAGGAGTAGGTGTGACAGGCTGGAAGCTGTTCGATTTCATTTGTAAAGATGGCGGAGGAGGAGGGGGCGGGGCCGCATTTCTTCTGCTGCTTGTTGATTGGTCGAGAAGGTTGCTCATGCTGCTGCTGCTTCTGAGTGAGCTGATACTGAAATAGAAGGCAAAAATCAGGATAACAGAGAACATTACCTGTCTATTGTTTAGTGGATGTTAACTTTGCAGGCAGAGCTCACCCTACCTGGGGTCAGGTGGTCTAGGCGTGTCCTCAACAGGGCCAACATATGAAGCAGGAAACCAGCCCTGACTGAAAATTGTACTGACACTGGAAAAGCGACTACGTTAAAGCGATAGTTCAGTGAAAAATCAAGCCAGTCAGCTGAGACATGTCTGAAGTTTGCTTCTGACATGTCTCACGTGAGGCTAATGTAGCTAACAAGTAATGGAAGCTTTTAGTCCCAGCTTAGCACTGTTCAATCTGCATGCCTAAATCATCACATGGAGTTGTTTAGTAATCTCAAATAGACGTGCTTGTGTGGTTTCAGCTTAGCAATCGTTTCACTATCCTCCATTACCTCTATCAAGCTTTCATGTTTGACCGAAACATGCTAGCTTTTCTGGCGTTCTTGTGAATGTACTTTGAATTACAAGCTCCAGATATACAGATAACAGATAAACCTATCTGTAAAAGCATGACCTGATACCAATAAAGTAGAGCATGGCTATTTCCGAAGGCAAACACAAATAAAAATGTTAGCCCAAGTTAACAACAAAAGTTTGCGTTGTTGTCGGCAGTGATTTGCGAACTGTATGCTTTCACACAAAAATCCATCAAGGGTAAGTGCCTAAATGGTGCCTAAACTTTTTTTCACAGTGAGGCAGTATGCTTTAGCTTAGGACGCTTGACAGTTTTGTTTGCCAAGTTTGCTGGTGTTGTTTTATTAATCTTTGTTATGTACATTTCAGCTGTCCAGTTTTAATTTATGTTGTCTTCATTGGGGTGCACTGAAGTACCTGTGTGCAAATTGCACCCGGCGTCGTTATAAAAGATCTTGTTAATGGTTGAGAAGGTTTCATGCAACAAGTAGCAAACATGATAAAGGTGAAGGAGCTTCCTAAAGTTCCTAAGGAGAACATCATTAACCCCTTAAATGGCCAGGGCCCCTGGGGTCCCAAAGTTTTGCACACTTCAATAAACCTGAGAATAGCTCAGCCAGTTTGCTTTGAAGTCCCTGTAGTTACTGAATAATAGGCCTTAGTATGTAATAAGCCTGAGATTTTAAGGGGTTAATTTTTACCACTATAGATTGTTGAATAATGTAGGATTGATTTGATATTTGTACTGCTGTCAGCAATAGGCTATAACCTCATATCACGGTTAATGTGCTACCATCATGGTGCTGTGTAGCCCTCATGTAACTCACTTTAATATTATAAAAAATCTATGACCACCAAAAAAAAGCAGCCAGGTAGAAGCCAATCAAATATTTGCACCCAGGGGCTTTCAACTTGAATATCCAGGCGTGAAATATGACATACGTTGATAAAAATTGACAAAAGTACATCACATAGTCAAAAAACAGTAGTAAAAGGGTCTTTCCTTCTTTCCTCACCGTGAGGAACTTTCCGAGCGGCCGTAGAGCCAGCCATTCCGCGGTGCTGCCACAAGCACAGTGACCATTTCTCCTCTGGAGAATGACAGTAGGGTGGAGTTAGAGGAGGCTGGGTGTGGCACCAATGCTTGCATTACCCTACCTCCACCTAATCCCAGAGATTCTCCAAACGAGCTGGAGCGGGAGCGAGCAAGCTGAGGAGACGGACCTAAAGAGAGAGAGAGGAAGTGTATTAGATCGGGGTTTTAGAACAGAACAGCACTTTGTGTCAGTGGTTGTGCTTGGTGCTTAGTGTTTTCCTCACCTCTGGAAGGCACTCTGCCTAAAGGTTGTTCAGCCAAAGCACGAGACTGATCTTCAAACTAAGAAAGAGAGGGGGGAATCATGCCTTAATTAGCTGGTCTATGCACTCCCATGAATTTTAAACCAGTACTGTTAGCTGTGATAGCATTTCTCACCATGTTGTCCTCCAGTCGTGATGGAGTGCGTGGACGGGACGCTCTTGTTTGATTCACTTGATCCCTCCATCCCTCTGCTTTCTGCTGCAGAGCACCCCCTGTCTTTAGCAAGAGGTATATCTTCATTTAAAATGGTTTTCTGGACACACCTAACTGAATCTGCATTTTTCATAATCTTATAGACATTCTGATCTTAAAGCTTATGCTTAAAAGTGAATGAAATTTAGTATAAATATTTCAGTTGATGCAAACAAAATTATTTCCAAAACATTTTTGATATAAATTCAAAAAATAGAAAATGCTGATCAGTTTTCTTCAGCAACAAAAAAGTTTCAGCATATGTGTATCTTCTTCAGTCTTGCTGGAAAAGCATCTCAGGTGGCTCTTCATGAAGCTGCTTGCGATAATGATCAAGAGTGTGTAAAACAGTATAAAGCAAAAAAGGAGGCTAATTTTTAAAATGATCTAATTTGTGTTATTAAATAGTTTTGACATCAATTATTCTGAAGTGTAGGGAAGAGTTAAAACAAGGAAAACCTTCTTTAGGTGCTTTTCGCTGGTAGTTCTTCACCATGACAAACACTGAGAAAGACCGCTGGTTGGGTTCTTGAATACAGTGCATGTTAAGCCTCTTTTAGGGCAATTCTTCTTTCATTTAGGCATCCTGTTTACTATTACTGTTTACTATTTGTTAGAGTGTAAAGGTCTGAATTCAGTAGGCCACTTTTGCCCAGCTGCTGAAATGCATTAATGATTCAGAGAGTCTAAGACCCAAAAGGGGTAGCACACTATCGACTATATTTAATTGAGCAATCACACTTTTTTTTTAATCAAGGTTAGTAATTGTGACAGCCCTGGTATGAGCTTGTATAAAGGCATGTATGAGGAGTCAGATGAAGAAGTGCAGTGGTCAGCTGCTGCACGTGTCAAACACATGTGAAGCAGCCCAGCTCTCAAAAACATCCAACAAGCCCACATTTTCATTCTGCTCTCAACACTCATATGCAAAATAAGGAGCTCCATTCAGTATCTCTGTGATGATTTGAAGTGGCATTTATTATACAGAACTACTCATCCAACATCAGTACCTGACCTCACTAACGCTCTTGTGGGTGAATTCACTCAAATCCACTCAGCAATGTTCCAACATCTAGTGTAAAGCCTTCCCAGAAAATTAGAGGCTGTTACTACGGCAAACTTTCAATTAATACCCTTAATTTCAGAGGAAAAGTTGGCTGAGCAGGTCTGAAAACCTTTGCACGGTGAACATAGGATTAGGAACACTGTGAGAATAGGTTAGAATATAAACTTTGACAGATACATTGCAAATTTTAATAGAAAGCTGCACTTTAACCTTAAGATGGCCCATCAGAACTTTCTACAAGGCACTCAGGGGTCCCTCATGAGGATAAAAGTTGCAGAAGTTGAGTTGAAGTTTTACCTTGTTCATCAGATACACTATAGACTGAGAGAGTCCACAGTGTTTTTCGGCCAGAAAGCGGTATCTCCTCTCTTCTTCTTTCAGTGCCTCTCTCTGACTCTCCCTTAGGAACTGCACATATTCACCACCGTCCTACACACACCCACAGCACACTGTTATTATTATCATAATCCTTCACACACACGCATGTCACCACCAGCATCATGATATCTGCTCTGCTTTTAAGAGTCTCTCTGAGGACATGAATGCATGAATATATCCAGTTCACATGCATGAATTCGCATGCTAGTCTCTTCTCACACAATGATGCAATAAGACTATGATTCTTTATGAAATTATACAATGCATTGTGAAATCTAGAATTTCTCCATGATTCTACTTGATTATGTTGGGATGATTCAGAATAATTTAAAACATTTTGACTGGAGGAAATGAACACATGCATAAATTACACCAAGCTATTTTTTTACAGCTGCAAATAGACTGAGAATTTTATTTTGGAAATATTATGACCAAATATTATAATAAATAATTCTAATAAATTCTAACATTCTGAAACTGAAGTAGTTGAATCATAACATTCAGATTACTTCATGCCTGCATTTTTACAACCCTAAAATGCGCATACACACAGTCACTGAGGCCCTATTTCATGTTTTAGCATGCCCTCGTCAGCTTCAACTCACCACTGAGATGTTCGACACACCTACCGATACACAAGTGGCCACTCACAGCACATGGAGAGGGGGACAGTGAGGTGAGGAGCTATAAGTTGGCACACACTCCCTTGACGAGGTTCACCTCAGTAAGCTAATTAGCTAGTTATTAGGGATGTAACAATACAACATATTGTGTGAAATCATATCTCTGTCAAATCTCTGTGCTTAATATGGTATTATTTCATTTTCTCTGCTAGAAAAGCCAGCATATTTTGTGTTTTGGACGCTGATGGAATTCATGCCAGTCTAAGTTTTTTTTTTTTCAGCAGAGGTATCGTGACTAGTATCTTAGTTTGTGGCTAGTGTGTTAGCTTGGGGCAAAAGCAAAGCTTTTACTTCATATCATATTTTGTATTTTTATTTCTGAATGCTCTAATAAACTGAAAATGAAAGTATTACGGATTAATGTAAGACACGTTCTTTATATATATATATATATATATATATATATATATATATATATATATATATATATATATATATATATATATATATATATCATCTCATATCTCCAAAATGAGAACTTTACAGGAGAAGAAAAAAATATACTTTACTTTCAATGTAAGTCAAAGTAACCAGACTTCTTTTTAAGTCATTTTGGGTTATTTTTGTTGGTCCATTCATCATTAATTTACACATAATGTGAAGGACAACAGGCAAAAAAAAAATAATAATAATTTTAAAATAATAATTTTAAAATAATAATTTTAAAATAATTTTTGGTTGCTGCTAGCTAGCAAGCTGCCAGAGGTAAAGTAAAGAAATTATAGTTTGCTACCTTTAGCCCAGTCTAAACGTAGCATATTGAATGTTACATAGTTTTAAATTATTAAAGGGGAATTCCAATGATTTTTCAATTTTTCTGTATAATTAAATCATTAAGATGTAAACAAAGTCATTCAGAGATTTTTGATGTGAAATCCTTCATTTTAGAGAAACTTACTGAGTCAGAATTGTTTACACTGGTGGTGATAGGAACCAGACATCTGAACCATTTAATGCTTCTAAAAGCTCCCTCACAAGTAGTTATTACATAAAATGGTTACAGTTATATTGCCTGATGCCTGAAACACTGTTTAACAATCATTAAAATACTGCCAGAACAAAATTTTACATATAAAAACACTACAACACAAAACATTGCAAATAAAAACTCAGATATGTGTGGGTTCACTGGCCATTGTGGATTTTAGTCTAAATAAAATGGCTATATTTGTGTTGTAGACTTTGTGACCCCTGGTTTTCACTACCACAACTTTAAAGAAGTACATCTTACATCTAACCACTCTGACTCTGTTTACTTTTCAAAAGTGGAAATTATGAAGAAATTTGGAAAAATCAGTGGACTTCCCCTTTAAGTATTTAAAGCATTTTATTGCTAGGAATGGCCCTCAAGATGCTGCTGGGGATTCACCTGGGTGTAAATGGCGAGGCAAAGTTGACAAGAGCATTCCAAAACACCACTAAAACAGGTGGTGAGGCTTACCTGTGAACCACCTCTCCTCAGCTGTCTCTCTAAAGCTGTCGCTTGGTTTCTCACCTCCATCTCATAGTTCCTCCTACTGCCCTGGAGGTCAAGTGCATCAACATCGACAATTCAGTTTTAATGAGTCAATGAAAATTCCTGATATGGTTTTTACTGTTTTTACTCCAGCATGTGGAAGTATTACTGACTGAGATGTAGTCTTTGTCCAGCCTGACATTATTCTCCATTTCCAGAAGTACTTCACTATGGAACCAGCGGAACTAAAACACACACAAACACACCAATCGTTATACATAAATCATTTTATACACATAATATTGTATATAGCATTATAAGAAGTGGAATAAAAAAGACGAAGTAGGGAATGGAGGCATGTGAGTAAAAAAGAAGAGAAATGTTGTACCACTCCTTCCAGCTCACTGGTAAGTCTCCTCTGGCTCTCAGAAATCTGTATCAATATGTCACCTGCCAAAATACACACATTACATATTCAGCTCAATAGCACAATGGTCAAAGACATCAAATATCAAAGACAAAGATCAACAACATTTATGTAAAAATGTATATATATATATATATATATATATATATATATATATATATATATATATATTCATGATGAATGGACTGATAGAAATGACTCTTTATATTAACCTGCTTTGAATTTATGAATGCTTTTTCTGTCTCCTGTAGAATTACCATTGTGGAGGTACAGGTTTTTTGGCAGCGACAACATGTTATTGTGTTTGCTTACCCATTTTCCCAAAGCTCTCCTTATGGCAGCACAGTATTAGTTATCATCCAACACCTGGTTTGGCCCAATCAATACTTTTTTCAGTTAAATCAAATGTGCCGCTGATGGAATTTAACAAATCTATGCGATGGCTGGGGACTTTAAAGTGAAGTCAGAAACCAAACCTGAGTTCTTCTAACCAGCTCTCAAAATATGAAGTACTTTTTTAAAAAAACAACAAAGTCTTGATACTTTTTATCACTTTAATTTTTGTTCGGGTTTATTTCTAATGTTAAAAACCACAGTTACTGCCCGGACATTTTTTAAAGCATTTTACTTAAGTGCTTAACACTTCTACACAATATTGTTTGTCATCATTTTCAGAATAAAACCTTGTGTCTTTTTTTTGTTTGCTTGTTTTATGTTTGTTTGTTTTTTTTTAATTGAAAAATGCCAGAAACTGGGACCTCGAAAAATTATATTAACTTAAATTAAAAGTTGAGAATGTTTTATATTTTTCCATTATGTTATACCAAATAAAGAAACTGTGCACTAAAATTTGCAGATAACTACTGTATTTAAGTGTGTTCTCTGTAGATGATGTTTATTTTCACTCAAAATCAACAAAACATATAATTTGACAGTAAGTGTTTAAACTTTTGCATATGACTGTAGGTAATTATGCATGTATAAAACATATGGGACACACAGTGCCCCAAAAAGATTTGGACCCTTTAACCTTTGGTAAATGTTAAGTTCATTATGTACTTCAGAAAATGTTTAACAAAATGAGATAAAACACTTCTAGCAAACCAGCAGAAATCTGCAAATAAGTGTTCAAATGATAATAAACATTTCGTTTCCTAACACCATAAATTTGATACGTTTTGTATGTAAACAAAAAACCTGTGTGTGTTTGTATGTGTGTGTGAGAGTGTGAGTGTGTGTGTGTGTGTGTGTGTGTGTGTGTGAGAGAGTGTGAGTGTGTGTGTTTGTGTGTGTGTGTGTGTGTGAGTGTGAGTGTGTGTGTTTGTGTGTGCGTGTGTTTGTGTGTGTGTGTGTGTGTGTGTGTGTGTGTGTGTGTGTGTGTGTGTGTAAGGCTTTCAAAGGTTAAACACACGCAGTGCAGCTGATGGTCTGTCATCATTTATAATTGATCATCACAGAGGAGCCTCCGTTACCTGATAGCACAACATTACACACATACACTCACACACCCCTTTAGTCTTCCTCTATCAGTCTTTCTCTTTTGCTCTATTTCACTCTCTTTGCTTCTTCAAGTTATAAAACGTTTCTAAATCTTTGACAAAACTACATTGGAAATCTTTAAAAACTCTAAACACACTCTTACACCCACCCACCCACCCACACACACACACTGTGTGCAATGAATGACTGTTCAGTGAATTTCAGCGCATTCCTGTGTGGTGTGAGGCAGTGACAGATGCAGTGGGAAAAGACCAAAGTGCCATGTGAATAATAAATTTAGATCAGTATCTACGTGTGTGAAGGCCAAAGCCTCCAATTCAGCTAACAGCCAGCAATAAAGCCAGTTAATCAACACATAAAAAATGTGCAGTGGTCCACTGCTGCAGTACAGGGGGAGTTCATTTAGGGCTCAATGGCTAGGGCATTTTGCCAGCAAGCCCTTGTGCCCACCAGTTCAGTAGATCAGTCAGTCTGGCATCAGAAAGATGTGGTGGTCTATTGCAAATTTTATAAAATACTTATAATGTACACACTGAACAAAAACCCATTTTACAGAAATTTAAATTTCCTACTGGCCTTTACAATATGGTCAAATTTCATGATACGCAGACCATCAGAAATGACATGGAAAAATATCCTGTTCTATTAACTTCCATTCAAAGTTAAGAAAGTTTTTACTTCTCCTGTCAAGTTTCCATTTTGAATGTGGGAGGTTTTGTCACATCAATAACGACATACATTCAGTAAAAATCAACTGAATTGCTTTGGTTTAGATGTGCGCATCGGTTTCACATAAATAAAATACATCACATGAACACAAATATTGCCAGAAATAAGGAAATTTATTTCATTCATCTGGATTTGAATGAAGACAATTCAATACATCATTTTGTTCTGTTGAGTTATTTTTTGTAAATTGCACTGCTGTGTCTGATCCATTTATACAAGCGCAACGCCCGCTAACACAGCACCACTGTGTCAGTGTTACTGCAGTTCTGAGAATGATCCACCACCCAAATAAAACCTACTCTATGGTGTTCCTGTGCGGGTCCTGACCACTGAAGAACAAGGTAAAAGGGACTAACAAAGTATGCAGACTACAGTCTCTAATTGTAGAACTACAAAGTGCACCTATATAGTAAGTGGAGCTGATAAAGTGGACAATAAGTGTAGAAACAAGGAGGTGTTCCTAATAAAGCGCTCAGTGAGTGTATATATATATATATATATATATATATATATATACTCTACGACAGATTAGTCTAGTTCAGCCCTGCCCATTCAGTCTGCACAGCTTTTTTTAATGAGGCACAATACAAGACAGCCAGTGAGAACAAGATCATGCATGTATCTTACAGTCACAGCAACAGAGTCTGCCTGTTTAATTTCAAAGAATAAAGTGAGGTTGGAAATGGTCATGTTTAAATGAACTACGGATGTTTTAGTACATAAATCCACACAAATTTACTATGTGGACCTCAGAGGACAAACACAGAACAAAAGAAAAATGTAGGCTATGATATTTAAATGATATACATAGCTTAGCAATAAGGAAGAAAAAGATGAAAAAAAGGTCTTACCCAGTAGACGAGATGACATAGTCTGCATGGCCTGTTCTCCTATCTTAGCAAGAGCACTGAAATAGGCTTCACTGGTCACAGCTAGAGCTACACACACACATATAAAACCACAAAATATACTATTACTAATGAAATTATGGATGCTAACAGTCAGGTAGCTTTCATTATTACACTCTACTGTACTGTATTTTTGTATTTTCCAATCAAGCAAATACAAACGAGAGGAATGAAGCTGCTTTATTCAATATTAGCAAGTATACTGATTGGGTTTTAAGTGAAATGCTAATGGCTAAGGGCTAATGCAATAAAGTTTATGAGGTTTAGGTTCATATGTGTAGATCAAAGACAACTATAATGAGGCATTATTATCTGGCATATGACGCACTAGGTCTTGTATTATCCAGCTGTTAACAAACATGATTGACCGGTTCCTTTTTGAACAGCGCTGTCTCATCCGGGAGGCCAAAGTTCAGCTTCTCCCTTTTTACTTTCTTTCCCTATTGCTTTTTAAATCTGCCTGCATTCAGAAATCTTTAATTCATTCAAACTTCTTTACCTTGGTAAGCCTGGATGTAGTTTTTTCCCAGTGCGACCAGCCTCTGTAAGCTTGGATTAAACTGATCCATAAGAGTCTGAGAGAGAGAGAGAGAGAGAGAGAGAGAAAGAGAGAAAGAGAGAGAGAGAGAGAGAGAGAGAGAGAGAGAGAGAGAGAGAGAGAGAGAGAGAGAGAGAGAGATTATAGCAATAAAACTGCAATTCACAGTAAGTGTAGGCAAAAATATTTTAAACTAGGGCTAGAAAGGCAATGAGAGAATTTATATGTGTATTTATTATTTTTAAGCGTTTTTAAAGCTTTTTTAAGCTCTATTTCAAATGTTGTACTTTCAGTAAGAAAAAATGTCCAATGGTTTTAAATAAAATGTTTAAAAACTCTGACCATTGACACCACACAATTGACACAATTGACTACAATGCAGATATAACAGCACATATGAAGCTAGCTGTTTTGAGCTAATACAGAACAACATGCAGGTGGTACATGAACAAAAAGAGATTTTGAGACCACTTGAGTATCTACAGAATACATTTTCACATGCACACATGTACTAGCAATGTGCCAAAATGTAAGGCTCACAAGTTGCTGGCTAGCTGCTTTACATATTTACATATTGGCTCCCGAGTACAAAAAAGTTTGGGCATCACTGCTTTAAACATACCTGTATTGTATTGTATTGTACTGTGTTAAGCCTGAATTTGAGTACTCTGGCTAAACCCTTCACTAATGTGCTGAATTGACTTGATTCAAATGTGTCCATCATTTTGACATAAATTAAATATATTACATCTACACAATTGTTGCCAAAAATAAATATATTGAAATACAAAGATGAACTGAAGTAGTTTAGTTTATTAATGTAGAAATGATGCACAATTTAAATCAAGTCAATTTAATTCACTTATTTCAATGTTCAGTGCTTATAAGATCAGTCTGCACTATTATAACAAATATATGTAGCTGGCCTCATCGCCCATGTGGCTGGTAAAGAAACATCTAGACGCCCAGCACTGGTAAGACTGATTTACTTTACCCCTCCTACCACCATATCTATAACTATAATGATATAATTTTCATTTCAGATGATTTTTCACTCAGTAAACTTTAAATGCTTATGTTTGGCTACCGTACATTAAAAGACATTATTTTTATTGTTGTAAAAAATAAACAACCCAATAACAAAATAATAATATAGGGTCTGCAAAGGGCTAGCTATAAAGATTTAAGACTCACCATGTAAATTCTCAATGTGGAGCGGTGTAACTGGTCACTGTTTAGTCCTGACATCCTGCTGCTCAGTTATTGTGGCAAGACAAACAAATAAACAACGTCTTATAAATAATGAATAGCCACACAAAACTCAGAGGAACGACCCGTCAACAGTCTTTCGGCTGAGTCTGTGAACTGCTGCTGCCCTCTGAGCCTGTGTGTATGTGTGTGTGGGAGAGAGAGGGAGAGAGAGAGAGAGCTATTGACTCTATTGTGAGCTGTGAATTATTGAACAGAGACGGACAGTAAAGGTGTGGGTGTGGTTTTAGCCACCTGGAACAAACAGTGCTCACTGTCCTGAGAGAGGAGTAACACTTTGACATAGAACAGTCAAGTCCACTTTGAAAAATACTCCTGAATGCTATTTGATAAATGAAGTGGAAGGAAATGTATTATTTTTGGTTTATAGATGAAGGTTTTTTGAGTGCACTGGGTTTGAATGTCATCCATACATAATTCTATTGAACTTTCAAGTATCAAATTCGTACTTTTGATAATTAGACTGGCATCAAACCCTGACATACCATCAATACCACTATTAACTATCAAACACTTTATTGAAATAACCTTATATATTTATTGAAAGACTTTTTATCAAACTCTTTGTTCAGACAGAATATCGCTTTATGTACATGCATCAAAAAGGTGCAACAGCGTCTTTACTTCCTATGGAACCTCAAGAAAGCCCATCTGTGTCCTGGAATACCGGTGGACTTTTACTGCTGTACCACTGAGAGTATATTTACAAACTGCATCTCAGTTTGATACGGCAACTGCCCCACATCTGTCAAAAAGCGCTCCAGCAGCTGGTGAAAACTGCCCAATGCATCACAGGTACCCAGTTACCCTCCTCCATCATCAAGGACGTTTCTCATCCTAACCATGGACTTCTTACCTTCCTCCCATCTGGCAGGCGTTACAGGGGCCTCCGCTCCTGTACCAGCAGGCTCTTCCCTGAGCTTCTTCCCTGAGGCTGTGACCCTGCTGAACTCCACACAGTCACATTAACTGCATCTTTGCACTCAAAGTACTGTTACTGTACTTTATGTCCTGGTATTATTGCACAGTATTTATATTTGCACAGACAGAATCTCTCTCTGTATCCTACCTCTCATTAATTATTATTTCATCAATGACAGCTGGGATAGGCTCCAGCACCCCACCGCGACCCAGAAGGATAAGCGGTTTAGATGATGTATGTATGTATGTATGTATGTATGTCTTATGATCTATAATACTTGCGTGTGTGGCTCATTTTTCCCACCTACCTCCGAACAACTCCCGCCTCCTGCTCTTGGATTGGATAGTCAACCGCCGGATCGCTGGTATTGGGGCACCGCTAACCAATCCTAGCTGTTGAGGCGGGGCCTGCCGCAGTACGGGTGGGGAAAAAAAACACCGACGCGACTGGAGGGGGCACTACTCTGAATATGAGAACTGCTTTGGGCTGCTCTTACTGGCCAGCCTCAGTGTGTGTTTGTGTGTGTGCTTGTGTCGCTCCTTTCTCCCCAGACGCGGGATCCTCCTTCCTTCAGCTCATCGCCGGCCAAATCCTCCTCTCCTGTCCCGAAACATGGAGCTGTCCGCGGCCGGGGACCGCGTGTTTGCCGCCGAGGCCATCCTGAAACGGCGCGTCCGCAAGGTTAGCCTGAGAGGGGGAGGCTTTTTTCTCACTCGGTTTGGTTTGATTTCGCTGCGGCCTACTTTCCCTCACGATTAAACTTCAGCTGAATTCAGTCACAATTCGGTGTTTTCCAGCGCGCTTTGCAAACCCTGACAAATATTCACATGTGTGTCTCACTTGCAGGCTCTTAAAACATCTGGATACACGTTTAATTACAGTAATGATGTTCCTGTTTACTGTTATCACACTGTGTTTGAATTTTACAGTGAATTGATGGGATGTAACCTAAGTTAGCTTGATAGCTAGCAAGCTAGCTTGGTGGCTGGTTGGCTAGCTCGTATGACGGCGCCAGCTGTTTTGTGTCTGCCCGAATTGCTAATTCTGACAAAGAGCAGTCTGTGCTCAGGAAAAGACGACAGGTTACGTCTGAAGTGTGAAATAACCTTGTATATTCATTGATACTCTGTTTATCGAATCCTTTGTTGTCAGCCTATTTAAAGCACCTGGAGCCTGAATATGAAATGTTGGCTGCTGTCATCAGTCAACAGTAGTGGAAGGAGCAGGTTTGTTTTTAACTGTAGCCCGAATAGTTACTGAGCTACAGTAAACATGTTTATTCAGCGAAGTCTGTGTGTAATAACCTTCACCACTGTGCACATATTTTGCAATTACATGTTTTCTCGATTGCTCTAGCCTACTATTGTTCCTATGTAGGTAACTGATCTGGTGCCTTACCATGTGCCTTTGTTTTCATCCCAGGGTCGAATGGAGTACTTAGTGAAATGGAAAGGGTGGGCTATAAAGTAAGTCGTTGAATCGCTTTATGAATCATGCAGTTGTAAAAAGGGAGAAAAATAGTCCAAAATAATTACACTTCTTTTGTGGTTCTTGCAGGTACAGTACTTGGGAGCCAGAGGAGAATATTCTTGATGAACGCCTTGTAGCAGCATTTGAGCAAAAGTGAGTTTTCATGTTCCTCTCTGAACTTCCTTGTACACCAGCATATAGTAAGCACATGTATAGGTGGGAATATGAACTGATCATTCTATTCTGATTATTGTAAGACAATAATGTAATAATTGTGACTTAAATTGAGTTACAAAGTACCACATGAGCTTTACAGAGCCTTATCCTATGTCCTTACCTCTACCCCATACACACACATATATACACACACACCATCCAACCAAATATGTTCATTAAGTAAACTACCGATAAAGGTAATTTAGTTACTTAAAATTGTTTGGCATTTTATGTTTGAAAACTTTAAAATAAAAACCATGTTGCAAAATAAGGCAACTTTAAAAGTAATCAACTCACTGAAAAACTTCTGTTGCAAGTTCTTACCTCCTCAAATGTCAGGCAGCAGTGAAAACAAAGGACTTTTGCCTTAAGGAAAGAGGGGTCAGGCTGTTGCATAATAAAGAAGACCCTGAATGACCTTCATGGTGCAATGCCAATGCCAGTACCTCTTTCACAAATTTTGGAAAAAATGTAATTTTTGGGTCATGGTTAGAATGGTTCAGTTTACCATGTCAGGTGGTATGACTTCAGGAAAACCATGACATTGTGTAATTATTATAATAATGTTTATTTTTATGAAAAAAATTAAATATAAACCCAAGTTCTAGGACAAAGGTTTCAACGGGTGCCTAAGTAGGTGCCTGTTTAATTTGAAGTTAGTGTGAAAAGTCAGGTGGCACAGCCGGTAAGTCAAATAGTGCAACCAGACAAGTACAGTTTTAATAACTGAAATAGGTAATTGAAATCTTTGACAACACTAACTATATTTAAGATATTTAATAAAATTCATATAGATATAAATGCAAATATATTTATGCAGATCTAAAAATGCACTTTTTGTCATTTATATATATATACATCATATATATATATATATACATACATTTGTCATATATATATATATATATATATAGCAAGCAGGATCTCAGGATACAGCATCCAACTCAGCTTGCTAAGCTGGGTCTGATTCGTAGCGTAGGAGAGGGAGGGTCTGTTAAATCTACCAACTGGCAAATTACATGCTGCTCAGCTTTCTTTGCCATCTACATCTCATCTATCTTTAATCTATATTATAATTTTACCATTCAGAGTATGTATATGTACACCTAAGGTTCAGTTTGTATAGCCTGTAATTAAGAGCGATCTTTTTTGTTGTATACATTTTTTAATTAACCATAGATCACAGCGATTGTGCAAATGAACTGGTTAAATAAAGGCAAAGCAAAAGAAAATCATGTTGCATATGAAAGAAAATGAAATAACGATAATTTGCATAACATGTTTTTTCATGACATTTTTTAATATTGCTTTAAATATGAACATAATGATCATGGTATTAGTATTTGAAAAACATTTTATAGTCTTCATGTTCATATTCACATTAGGCCTCGCACGATTTGCTGAATATGGGTTAAAAATACATGTGGAAATAAGCAGGTGAGCCAGGTTAGGTACCCATTGTGCATAAGTTGCTGATCTCACCAAAAGACATTTATAGTGCAAGACAGTGCAGAATCATCATACAGAGGAAAGTGAGTCAGTGTAGATGCTATGAACTGTGACCACTGGTGTTTTGAATTGTGCTGTTGTAGCCGTTGGTGTTCGAGTGTTTGAAGTGGTCTGCATGAGTTAGAAGTTGCCAATGTGAAGCATGCTCTCAGGAAGTGCTCAGTCGTCTTGAGCCACATAAGATTACTCTCATAAATAAGCAACAAATAGGCAAGAGTTCGATTTGATAGTACCCCTGCTGCCAGTTTTTTTTTACACTAAAAACTAAAAATACACAGCCCAGTTACAGGCATAACACATACTTCATACATTCCTTCATGTGTGGTTTTACTTGGCACTCTTTAGCTGAGGTGTTTGTCTAGAACAATTTATAATTACATGTCTGCTGTAGACTAAAAGGAAGGATGTTGTTAATAGCTGATTCTGTGATGTGCTATCTTGTCTTTACAACCAGGGAGAGAGAACAGGAGCTTTACGGACCAAAGAAGAGAGGACCCAAGCCTAAAACACTTCTCCTAAAGGTTGGTCAATACAGCTTGTATGTGACATCAAACGTGCAATGCATGGATAGTTCACAGATTTCTTCAAAACTGTGAATTGTCCTAGTACATCACTTTCAGACTAATGATATTACTGTACAGTACAGTGCAAAAGTCAGAGACCATCCTTCATTTGTTTAATTACTGAATTATCATAAGTCATACAGAAAATGGGACTCACAATAATGCAAGACATTGTAGACCACTAAAACTGCACCATCAGATAAACAGTGCTTAAAACTTTTATATTTGAGAGAATCAAGATCTACTCTTGCTTCAGATCTAAAAACTTCAACTTTGGAGATGTGAAAAAATAAAGCCAGTCTACTGAAAAGAATGGACAAACTAAACACTGACAAAATTGACAGTATATTTAGTTGTTGAGGCTTTGTGTAATTTTCTGTTAAAATGTGTTTTCTGCTTTTTTCCTGATTCTGAAAAATGAGTAATTTGTACTTAGTTGCCATTTTGACTGAAATGATATAAGCAGAGGCTGGTCTCTGATTTCTGCACGGTACTGTATGTGCTAAATCATATGGTAGCATCCTTTGACCCTATTTCTCTGAATTCCTATATATTCTCATACATTTAATGTAAAATTTAGTCAGAATGGCCCATTTACTCTATTTCTACTCTGTGTCTTTGTTATTTTTTTCCCAGTCAAGAGCACAGGCTTCAGATGGCGCCCCCCGAGTTCCTGAGTTCAAACACACTCGACCCCAGCCATCCTCCAAACCTCCGCTACCACCCCTTCCCACACCCTCATACCCCCCTAGTTGCCCGTCCAACGCTAAGCTGCAGTCTGGAGCAGCCCAGCCAAAACTGAAGAAGGATATACACCGCTGTCATCGCATGTCACGACGACCCTTGCCTCGCCCAGATCCTTTAGCCCAGTCAGTCGGTCACTCACTCAGCCCCTTCTCTGAGACAGTCCGCATTCTGAACCGGAAAGTGAAACCTCGTGAGGTCAAGAAGGGGCGGGTAATCTTGAATCTCAAAGTGATTGACAAGGCTGGGAACAGCGGGGCAGCCAATAACCGAAGGACTCCGAGCACCGCTCACCAGTCCCATGTTGGGCGGCAGAAGGTTCCGTCTCGAAATAGAGTTATTGGGAAGAGCAGGAGGTTTGGAGATGTCTCATATAGAGGGCTGCCGCTTCCAGTGTCTGGTGCCGGATTTTCAGTTTTTGGAAAAGCGTTTGAGGCTCATTCAATGGACCCTTCTGGGAATCAGCCGAAGGTAGAGCAGAGTGGTCACAAACCAGGCAGCAAATCCTCGTCTTTGCAGTCCTTGTCTCAGAGTTCAAAACTTATGACCTCTGATGTACCTAAAGCACTTGGCGAGCCTCCTCAGTCGGCTTCCAGCTCTGAAGTATCGGACAGCGAAAGCCATCTCACGTCTTCAGCACAGTCCCACCAACCTTCATTAGCTCACCAGTCGTCTGAGGTAAATCCTGCCATTTTGCCCCCTTCAAAGCCCAGCAATCAACTAACAGACTTAAAACCCAATTCGTCTGCAGCCCAATCTGTACTACCTTCCTCTCCCATGTTCTCCTCATCATCCTCATCGTCATCCTCATCTGAAGACAACGAGCACATCCTTGACCTCTCAGTTCCTCACGGAAGCGACAGGCGAGCCAAGCGCCACCATCATTTCTGTCGTCATCAACAACCCAAGCTTCCAGAGATTCCAGTGTCTGAGGAGGCCTCTGAAGAAGAGGAGGAACTGGACTGGCATCCAGAGATGGCCGCACGATGTGCCAATGTGGTTGTCACGGACGTTACAACTAACCTCCTCACCGTCACTATCAAAGAGTTTTGCCATCCTCATGGACTACCGCCATCAGCCTCTTCTCCATGCTATGCTAATCATTTTTCTGCTTCAAATAAGACAAAACCCCAACCATGACAACCTAAACAAACCATATGAACACAGGTGCCACAGATACTGCCTTTTACCAAGGAGATGTATTTGGTTCATATTCCTTATGTCCAGTTGCTGCATTTTTCCATGTTTCATGCTCTGTCTCACCAGTAGCTCCCTTTAGAGTACTATGACGTTGCCTTGCAGAGAAATGATAGAATGCTGAAAGGGGCTTTTGTCCTTAACATGTTTTACACAATGCAAGATCAAATCTCAGACTGATTATACTCTCAGTAAACAGCAGAGCCTTAATATTAGCCACAGGGAAGCAGAAGCAAGGCACACTAGCTGGCCTGCCTCAGCTATTTGGCCTACATCAGCAGTTAATATTGACCCCTCAACATCTGCGATATCCACAGCCTGGAGATGAATGCATTTTTCATGATATGGTGGCTGTGGTGTTTCTTCCTTTGCTTTATATGGCCTCGATACCTGTTATCAAACGTGAGCAGCACGTGAAGATGTATACAGAGTTATTTAGGCGTGTTTGGCTGACGTTGCTAATGGAGCCTCTGGTGTAATGATCAACTGCCTGAAAGCACCTAACACTTTTATGGCACTGTAATAATAATGAGCTTATCTCTGTCTTTCTCATGGGGCTTTTCGCCCAGCCATGCATTTAAAGGTGCACTCTTGGAATACACATCTATAGAGGAGCGGGACAGTTTCAGCAGGGGTGTTACAAGCATTCTCTGTTTAGAAAAAGGCTTATGTGGGCTGAGAATATTCAAGCTATATTCTGTTGAATCCTCCTGATGAAGAAAACAAGCTTGGCTACTTGACTGAGCTGTAGTCTGACTTCATCTAGGAAGACCAGGACTAAATGCATTTTAAGCACTTGCATTCTTTAATATATTTAGAACTTGTCTTATCTGATGGCGCACATCGATGTTCTCTCTAGTGAAATTAACCCTTAGAAGTTAGTCCTTTCATTTTGCTATACAGTTCAAATGTAATTACATATTGCCTGTTTATTTTGCTTATTTAATTCCAGCTTCCAGTTTTTTTTTTTTCATTTGTTTCACTGTCAAAAATCTAAACATGGCAAAGAGGGATGTTTTTACTTTCTCCAAAACCTGCATGCAGTAACTTCATCTTATTCATATCATAATAAAATACCTCCTTTTCTACTTATGAACACACATGTGCAATGAATCGTTAGTTTAGTATCTGCACTTTTAACAGTATTTCACTGCTTGTTTCAACGAGAGCATACAAATACAATATGATTCTATTATTGCACTAACTGCAACTTCTAAGGGTTAATCTCCACTGAGGGTAGCATGATAACATATTTTCCCCTGCAAATCAGACTACAGGTCAACCACTCGAGAATCCACTACATGTTCTCAATGTATCCTCAGCATGTGATTTTTAGAGACCTACCTAGACCTGGCGAGTCACATTACCAGCTCTGCAATCGCCCATGTTGTCCGTTTCCCTCAGTGCACATTAGAGAGTATGAGAGCTCAGCATGGGGCATTTGAAGGCAGACTCTGCGTATTCCTCCGAGACGAGCAGTGCTAGCCGCCATGTGGCAGCCATAAAGAGAAAAGGGTTTTGATCTTCTTCCCATGCTGATAGAAGTGTCGTACCCTCCAGTTCAACTTTAATTAAAGACAAGCTCTAAACCCTTGGGCCACACATGGTTAAACCAACATGGTTAAAAACAGGAAGCAAAGAGGGGAGGACAGTCATGACATGGAATGAGTTATTGAGTCTTACAGAGAAGTCACACATAGTGCAGAGCTGAGATCATCTCATGCTTTGACCTACTGGGTAGTTATGGCTATGATGAGAAGTAGAGAACATCTTAAAATATGGTCTGTAACAGTTATTTCTTCTGGGCGATTACTGACAGTGATCACTTGTTTAATCCCTTAAACTGCAGGCTTTAGATAGGGGTGTAAGTCTCTGACCTGACAACAACTTCATTTATTAATGATTGTTTAAGAAACTGTTGTTTTTTTTACAGTTACCTTGAAAACTATGCTGGGTTGCTCCAAGTGGCACAAGCGTTGACCCTATCATAGGGAGGTTACAGTGACACAGCCATTCATGACTGAGAATCCCAGAGAACATAATTGTCCTCGCTCTTTCTGGGTGTGTAGGATGGCCCTCCTCATTCTTCAATGTGATGCTAGCTAAGCTGCTGTTATTAAATTGGCCGTAGGCATTCTTCTCCATGCGTTTTGAGCTGTTACCAAAATAATATGCAGAATACACAAACATTACTGGAGAATTCTGTTTACTTTATAGTGGAATATAGCCAGTAATACTACACCAAACATTTATGTTTAATTTTACATTTGCAAGTGAGCATATACTGCATTTAATGCCATTGAAGGACATTGTAAAATCCATGCAGACTTATTTGGTAATGACTTTATGTTTTGAACCATTTTGGGACAATTATTCAGTAACTACTATAAATAGAATTATGGAACAAATATGTAAGTTATGTAATTGTAAGCATGAGGAAATACAGTCCTTTCCAGTTTAAGGGGTTAAATATGAGCATGTGTCAGGCTTTGATTTGATTGCGTATGAGGAGCTGGTTAGTTTGCAGTGGACTTTGGAACTTTATGGATGGTTACATTTGAGGGTTGTAAAATATTTTTTGTATTGTAAATGCACTTGTTTACAAAATGACTACAGTGACAGTATGTAGGTCCAGATAGATAGTCATAAAAGAGGGGTCTCTAGTTTTAGGCTTGAAGGGTTGGTGTCTATTTTGGTGATTTCATTGCTTAAAATCTCCTGGTTTAACTTATCTTTTAATTGCCAGGTTTGGTAGATGTGTTTGAGCAGGGAAACCACTGAACTGTGCTGCACATCAGCCCTCCAGCACTGGAATTAGAGGATTCCACCAGCTTAGCACTTCTCTCTGGCATAGCCATGCACTTATTAGCGAGTCAGTTTCTTTTACTTTTTCTCAAATGGGCTTTTAAGAACTATTTGGTGCTGCAAGCTTGGGTGCCGAACTGGCACTGTCTGTGACATCTTGGCCTTAGCTTGTGCTCCTGTTGCCAGACCTCTAGCATTAGTGCCAGCTCCATCCCCTGAGGCTAAGCTGGCCAAGAGCTCCAGTAATCCCCCCTTACACCAACACCCGCAGGCAGACACTGAAAGAAGCCTTCATGCCCAAATCCCCGCCAGGAGAGTCCCCCACACCCAGCCCATCAACCCAAACACAGCGGTTTGTAATTCCTAGGTCTCCGCTCAAGATTAAATCCCCAGGAATAGCAACTTTTTTGACTCTTACGTTATGATGTCTCGCACAGATTGCAAGCTTTATCTGATTGATAGTTGATTTATGTGCATGACAGCCATATTAATGATGTTTTTTTGTTCGCTTGTTCATTTTAACTTGCTAATCTGTTGAAATTTACTGCACTTAATATGTTTAACTTGGCAGTGTGCATTGATTCTTATTTAAAGAAGAAACGTATTATTGTGATACTTTTGTTGTTTTAATTTATTTAATCATGCAAAGACAGTTTGCTGGCATGATTCTGCGTGGCTTAAAAAAATCATCAACAGACTGCTCAAGATGAACTGGCCTCAAAAACGTTCACATCACACTTTTACAGCAGTGTATGGACACAAAGTCTGGACTACAATCTGTGAAATGTATTTTGTTATAGTGTAACGGTCACTTTCTTATGAGATCACAGGGTTGCGTGCCCATTTTCAAACAAATTCTGCATATGTGCTACCGTGCGGTGGTGCATTTAAGGCAACACCATCTCACTGTGTATGTCAAGAGCTCTGTTCTTATGTTTAATTTTTCAAATGGGGCGCTTCCATCAAGGCTGAGTATCGCCCTGTCTAAACTACACAGCTTAGTTATGGCATCTCTGTAAACTGAACGAGTGTGTGTGCATGCATATGTGTGTGAGAGAGAGAGAGTCAGAGGCCATAGAGGGACATTAAGAGGTTAAATTTGATCTATAATGTTCTGTTCTGCCTTATCTATTTATAGTGCTGCAGTATTAATGCTGACTGAATTGTACACTCGGAGGTATTTTTGAAATCAGTCTATATCTGTGTAGGTCTTGGTGTTCTTTCTGTTGCGAATGTTGCTGTCGTACCTCTCCTGAAAAGCCTCTGGAGCCTCTGAATAATGAGGTTGGACTGATGATACCATTTTTGTGCTATAAATAATGATTTTTATAATAATTTAAAGGTTGATTTTATAATGGCAGAAAAGAGGCTTTCTTGATTGTGTATTCTGTACAGTTTTTTTATTGTCTGGCAAAAAAAACATCAACTTTTTTACCGATCTGAAGTAGTAGGCTTAGGATAGCTTGGAAAAAGTTTGAATAAATGCTTGTTTGTGTTTTTTTGCAAATGAACCAGTGTGTTTGTGATGTCACACAAATCAAGACATTTATATGTATATCTGTCTTTTCAGTCTACGGCAGTTTAACCCCACCCATTCATTCTGAAGTTATAAGGAGTGTTTCACCCAGAAATGCTTTTTTAACGTGGCACAAGGCAGCCAGTCTTACATTTCAGAATCAGTGCAATTGAATCACCACCTTTACAGATGCATTTTCTGAACCCTGACTGTGTATGGGAGTCATCAGTATTGCTGTTGGTTTGGTATTTCCCATAATGCATGTTTCTATATAGGTGTTCAGTTCAGTGGGATTTCACCGTAGTTATTACTCTAATTATCTGGATTTTTAAAAATTAAAATGGTGAGAGATGGTCTTTTATGTTAATTACATGACCTTTTTCAGTCTGTTAAAGGAATCTTGGCATTACGTCTAGAGCTTAACCTGTTCACTTGAGACCTGCATAATATATTGTTAGCTGTTGTGGCAATATTGAACTTGCAATATGTTTAATTTCAATGTTCACAACAATCTCCACATTCCAAATTAGTGTTTTTTGTGTATTTGGATGACTTAAGGCACTCATTTGATCCAACAGATTTACCCCCTTAAAACCCCAGGCTTATTACATACTAATGCTTATTACTCAGTAACTACAGGGGCTTCAAAGCAAACTGTGTAGTACAGTTATATGTAAAAGTTTGAATACCTCCAGTCAAATTACATTTAGTTGATTTTCAAATTGACGGTAAGTTAAACCATCCTCTACAGGGAACAAACTGAAATATGGCATTTTGCGAATTTTAATGCACAACTTCTATTTGCTATGTTTAAGATGTTGCAAAAAAATAAAATCTGAAACATTAAATCTAAAACCTTTGCTCTCCTGTGTTTTATTTTTTCCAGTATGTTAAATTAAGCTTATAAACAGTAATTGTGCATTTAAAATGTTATTTTCACTTCAAAAAATCAACAAAATTTAATTTGACCAAAATTGCCCAAACTTTTGCATGTGACTGTACAGAGTAGTAGTATGTGACGTGAGATGCAGCCATGCTCATGATTACACTGGCCCTTGGGTGATAAGACTGGTCACTCCTGCCATTGAAGAACCTTTCAGTGGATGGTTCTTTAAAGAACGTGTCGCACATTTGGGCCACACCAGAACTTGGCCTGGGGACAGTAGAAGGAACTCTGAGAAGCTTGGGCAGAAGTTCTGGGTGGCTTACTGAAATCGAGAAAGCTGGACCTCCCCGTCCCTCAGCAAGAGACAGCAGGAAGTTATCGGTCGTAGAATGTAGAGGGGGGTGGTGTTGTGCGTGGTCCTTCTTTCAAACTTAAGTCGTTTTATAACTCCATTGATTGTGAATGAGAGGTGTGAGTGTGATCTACCTTTTTGAAGTTTAGAGAAGCGCCACATAATGTAAATGTTCTACACCGTGGTCACCGCCAGTGGCCTACTTTCAAGCAGAGTTTAGTTCCTACCTGCTTCTAACATGCTGGAATCGTACAGAGCCGCAAAGCTTTCCAGTGTAAACTACATGTCCAGAAGTTTATAGACACCTGATTAACCAGTGCTTCTTCTGAAATCAAGAGTATTAATCCCCTTTTGCAGCAACAGCCTCTACTCTTCTGGAAAGGCCTCACACTAAGTGTTGTAACATTGCTGTGGACTTTGGATTTGATTGCATTCAGCCACAAGAGCATTAGTGAGGTCAGGTACTGATGTTGGGTGATTAGTTTTGGATCTAATCAAAATTTAATTTGACCAAAATTGCCCAAACTTTTGCATGTGACTGTACAGAGTAGTAGTATGTGACGTGAGATGCAGCCATGCTCCTGATTACACTGGCCCTTGGGTGATAAGACTGGTCACTCCTGCCATTGAAGAATGCCATTGCATTCAGCCACAAGAGCATTAGTGAGGTCAGGTACTGATGTTGGGTGATTAGTTTTGGATCACAAACGCCTCTCCGACTCAGCCCAAAGGTACTGGATGAAGCGCCATTGCTCCAGAGAACACAGTTCTATTGCCATACAGCCCAATTCTGGAGGGCTTTATACTCCTCTAGCGTTTTGTTTAGCTTTGGCCATGATGGTGCAGCTGCACCAGAGGGTCCTGTACAGTTGTCAGTGGTTTTCTATTGAGATTGTACAAGCTGTGATTGTGTGCATGTGATTGACTGTGCACCTAAACGTATCTGAATCCACTCATTAAAAAGGGGTGTCTGGACTGTTGGTCATGTTGTGTATGTATCGTAGATTCATTCTTCTGTTTTTACTCACAGGCTTCAGTTCCTCCACCAATGGTTTTCAACAGCTCTGTGTCCCATAGGCCTGGTTTTAGCTCTACACTAGAGGGCAGTACTGACCCACTAGAATAGACGTAAACACAACAGGCCTCAGGCTGTGCATCGTTTCTTCCTGCCAGTTGAATGTTAATGTCATGCAGATGCTTGTATGCAAACAAGGAAGCCTTCTTGTTCTTCCTATTCTTTCAGATCAGAGAGAAATCCAGGCTGTAGCACCAAAAATGCTTTAATAATTTTAAGAATGTGATAGATGAAAAGAGTTCCGCAGCAGGGTGGAAATGTCCATGTTTTGCCTCTTCTGTTGGAACAAAAATGTATTCAGGCAACTTGTTACATTAGCCTGCAGGGTGCAATTCAGTATATTTGTGACTGGTGTAATCTATGCTTTGTAGTAGTGGATAGAGCAGTTTGTCTGAAAATAGACTCTCAGCGCTGAGAGCTCCAGTTTCCCTTAAACTGGGTTGCGTGTGATGTGGTGATGAATAAGTATCTCTCAGCAGAGACTGAAAAAGAATGTGATGTGTGTCAGTAAATGAGCAGACCTACAGAACTGCTGACCCACTTCATTAACACGCAGCGTGTCCCAATTCACACCGTCTCAATACTCTACATTAGTACTGATCAGTTACAGCTTTATAACCAGCTCCTAACTTAAACAGGTGGGTGGGTGTCTCTCTCTCTCTCTCTCTGTCTGCTCAGCATGTCTCTCTCTCTCTCTCTCTCTCTCTCTCTCTCTCTCTCTTTCTCTTTTTTTTTCTCTCTCTCTCTTTTTTTTTCTCTCTCTCTCTCTCTCTATCTCACTCACTCACACACTCACTCTCTCTGTTTCTTGCTCTATTTCTCTCTGGTAATAATTGGCTCAACATCTCTCTCTCTAGCTCTCTAATAACTGGCTCAGCATGTCTCTCTCTCTCTCTCTCTCTCTCTCTCTCTCTCTCTCTCACTGTCTCTCTCTATGTCTGTCTGTTTATAGAGAGAGATGGGCTCAGCATCTCTATTTCTTTATATATAGAGAGATGCTGAGCAAATTGTTACCAGAAAGAGAGAGAGAGACAGAGACAGAGAGAGAATGAGACAAATGAGAGAGAGAGAGACAAAGAGAACGAGAGAGCATGTTATGTAATCGATATTTCAGATTCCTGATATTCAGATGTACTACTTATTTTTTCATTTGAACCCTATTGTTTGTTTTATTTATCATTATTAGTAGTAGAATTATTATTATTATTTTTGTTACATGTCCATTTTATGCTTATATATATTATCATGTCTAAACCTCAAACTTTATAGCTTTGTTTTAATTGTTTATCCTTATGAACCTCTTTTATTCATTTCTATTTTAATCATAACTCAGTGTCGCATGTATTGTACAGCTTGGGTGACGGAGGTCTCATATCCTGCCATGCCAGTAAAGCATATTTGATTTGATAGTGAGTGGCAGAGAAAGAGAGAGAGAACGAAGGAGATTAGAGACAGTGAGAGACAGAGAGAAATGGTTAGAACACAGTTATTACCAGAGAGAGTAAGAGAGAGAAAAAGAGAAA